AAAAAAAAAAAAAAAAAAAAAAAAAAAAAAAAAAAACTAAACGATTAGTCGTCTGTCTGTACAGGTGTGCACGCTGATGTGGCGCACATGAATGGGGGAATCCTGGGATGATGACATTGCGATCATGAGGATCGCCTTTCTGTGTATGTGAATGCAAAGGTGGCACGGTCATGTGGTGCCGCTGACGTCGCGCACTTACGTGAGGCCGCTGACGTGGAGGCGTTGAAGTGGGGTTGCTGACGTGGCGCTGCTGATGTGCCGCCGGTGATATCTCAATGCTGACATGGCCACAATGACGTGATGATGTTCACATGGCGCTGATCGCCATTTCTCTCCCTCCGTATTTTTCTATTTCTGTCTTTCTCTCTCTCTTTCTCTCTGTCTTTCTCTCTCCCTCCCTTTCCCTCTCTCTTTCTCTCTCTGTCTTTCTCTCTCTCTCTCTCTCCATCTCTTTCGAGTGTTGTGTTGCAGACCCGGATGTGGCGGCTGATGCAAAGGTGGCACGGTCATGTGGTGCCGCTAACGTGGCGCACTAACGTGAGGCCGCTGACGTGGAGGCATTGAAGTGGGGTTGCTGACGTGGCGCCGCTGATGTACCGTCGGTGATGTCGCAATGGTGACGTGGCGACGGTGACGTGATGATGTTCAGATGGCGCCGATCGTCATTTCTCTCTCTCTCTCTATTTTTCTCTTTCTCTCTTTCTCTCTCTCTTTCTCTCTGTCTTTCTCTCTCCCTCCCTTTCCCTCTCTCTTTCTCTCTCTGTCTTTCTCTCTCTCTCTCTCCATCTCTTCCGAGTGTTGCGTTGCAGACCCGGATGCGGCGGCTGATGCGTCGGCTGCTGCTGTCGTCTTCCTTCGTTCTTCCTCCTCACGAATATTGCGGAGGAAGACGATGAAGGCCTGCAGATCCTTCTCTTCCTGCTCCATCATTCTCCTGCTTTCAGGAGATGGCGCCCTCATCCTCCTTCGAGTCTGCCTTCGCCGCGGACGTGGAGGGGGTTCCACCCACCATTCGTCGCAGGAGGAGGATGACAAGTCGTCATCGTCTATGATCATCCTCTCCCAAGGCTCGAACGTATGAGACATGACTGGGGGACGAAGACAAAGAAAGAGAGAGATGGAGAGAGATTGAGAGAGGGAGAGAGAGAGAGATGGAGAGAGATTGAGAGAGGGAGAGAGAGAGAGAGAGAGCTTTGGAGGCTAAAGTTGACCCGCCGAGTCATCAACAGGAGGCCGTACTTTGACTTGCGTTGATGACTACGGTCAACATCAACGGTTTTATATTGCTGGATGACCCTTGACTTGGCCGTGGACCTGGGAAAAGGCCCATATTGGGCCAGGTCCCAAGTAAAGGGCGTTAGTGTTTTTTTTTTTTTTTTTTTTTTTTT